TGAAAAAAATACATTTAAGAGAAAACAATAAGGATTTTGAATACTCAGTACGTGGGACAATGGGTTATCTCAAGTATTTCTTCTATTTTGCTGGAGTAAAGATTTCTTGCTTCTTGGTTCATGTGAGTAACTTCCATTTAAAAAACATCAATAACTGCTGGAAACTAAAGTCAGTATTTTCAGTAGTGCCTGGAAGGTGGTGGGAGATGGTAAGTGAATAGACTCCTTTTGATGGGAGCCTCAGAGCAGGCTTCCTGACTTATTCTACAGTTATACCAGCTGAAGAACATTTTCATCCACTGCTGCCAGGTTGAGAAGGAAAACATGGGTGCATATGTATTTTTCAGCAGGATAGATCTTCTGCGTGAAGTGCTGTACTGTGCTTATTTTTGAGGATTCTGTCAGTTTTGCTTGCTTGGTGTTAGAATGGAATGGATGATTTTTAATTACATATACTGAATATTTTAGTTAAACATATATAACTTGACAACAATGGGCAGTATTCTGCTATTTTCTAAAATTTGGGAACATGTCATTTATATGTAAACTCTAGAACTGAGCAGCCCAAGACTTTTAGAAGAGGGTATGAGGTCCTTGATACCTGAAGGTAATACCCTGAGAGAAGGCTCCACAACCCACTTCTGTCTTGGTGAGATAGGATAAAAGAGAAGCCATATATACTTTACTTTTTTAAAAAACTGAGTACATTATTAATAGAATCACTCTTTTTATGAGATACTAGGTATCTGGAGTACTAGGGATTTATCTGAGTTTATTTTCTATTATTTACTTTGTTATATGTGAGATCTGGGGTAGCTCTGTATGTAAATAATATATTTCAAATGTTTTTATTTATCAGGGCTAACTGAAATGTTTAAGACTCCAGTGAAGGAGAAGCCACAGATGAGCACATGTTCTGTCACACTCTCCAATTCAGACAATTTGCTTGGAAAAAAGTCTAAAGTAATTAGTTCAGGAGCAGAATCTCTGTCCATCCCTTCATTGAATTTAGGTTGGTTTATTTCTTTTCTGAAACTGTTATGCTTTTGGATAGGAACTGATACATGGTATTATTACTTTCCAACTAATATTGTATTTTTTTTACAACAGCTATTTCTGATAAGTGCCATTTCTGTCTTCTCTCTTCTGTTATTTAAGCAGAGATTCTCATCAGCAGTTGAACCGCTTTATATTCATTGACATGCATAATCAGTTAAGTCTAAGTGAGTTTTCCACACTTTTAGCTTCCTGTAGTAAAGATGATCTAGCTGAAAAGTACAGTGTCAAACTTAACACTATAAAATATTCAAATTCAAAATTATTGCAAGTTATATAAGAGAAGGATAGTGATTTGTATATTGTTTCTATTGTCCCTAATCTTACAAATGGGAGCAAACCCAGCATGAGTGGGACATGAGATATGCGTCTATATTACTGTCTCATTTGGTATTGGTCACTGTATTCCAGTCATAGAAGGAAAAGTTTGCCATCCTGCACATGTTTGCTGTAGTTAAAATTTAGATGTTTCCTGTATAATATAAACCCTTAGCAACCTAATAAAAAAGAGTTGTTTGTTTCTTATATTTGAAGAAAACAATGCCTGTATTCAAAGCAATGATGCACGGTATGTTAGCCTTCAAAGACCTTTATTACAAATTTTTTTATCCTTTAAGTAATCATTGTAGATCCTAACCACCACTTGATGATGCTACTCTGTTATGGCTTGTGTCTAGATGTACCCCCAAAGCCTCATGTGGTCATAGGTAGGGCTTTTCAGAGGTGGTTGTAGTTAGAATGTGTGATGCTGGAATTAAGTGTGTGATGATAGGATCCAGGGTGTCATTACTAAATTAGTCCACTGATTGTTTTGGTATAGCTCTAGGACTGAATAATGGGAACATTATGGGTGTGGACACAATATAAGGGACAAAAAGGACTGCTGTGCTTGCTTTTCACTTGCTGCTTTTACTATCTTCTGCTTGCCATGAACTATTTCTCTTCTGTGATGCCTCTCTGCCATGCCACTCTGCCTTAGAGACAGCCAGCTATTAACTGAAACCTCCACAAAGTGTGTGCTACAATAAACCTTTCTTCCTTTAACTTTGGGTTTCAGGTATTTTGTCTCAACAACAAGAAAAATTAACTAAGGAATACTCTATCACCAAAAACATTGTAGTTAATAGTAGATGGCTCATAAATAAGATGGTCACGTTAGTAGCCTCTTACTCTTAGTAAGGTTGATAAACCAAAGTACTGGTTTTTATACTGTGTTTCATGAGGATAAAACACTAAGTTGACATAACAGTGCTTGTAATACATTTACTATATGTATTTTTTATTTCTTACAGGAGAAAATGTGTACTCTAGTGCTCAGAATGCAGCAGAAGAACCATCTGATAAATGTTTTGCAAGCCCTACATTAAGAAGGAAGTGTATAAAGGAAGATGAAAAGATAGTAAAAACTCTTAGGAACTTCCATGAAATGACTCATTTTGAGATGAAAACTCTAGAATCTACCACAGAGCCTCTAAAGACAGTATCTAGTACAAATAAGTTGAGAAGGTCTGTGGAGCTTACAAAAATGCAGATGCAACATATAGAAAGTAAGAATGAAAACAAAGGAGATACTACTGAGAACTTCATAGGAAAAAACCTGAGGAAGACACCACTTCGAGAAAAGGAAAAAGAGAGGGAGATGAATGATATTGAAAGATCTTTAGAGACATGTAAGGAAAATATGGAATCAAATGAAAATTCTAGAAAGAGAACAACTATGGGGAGGTCAAGAAGTGGGGGAAAGAAGTATGAACCCACAGGTGACCTGACAGGTCTCAAGAGAACACCAGCAAGAGAACCCACAGAATATGTATCAGGTACCCAAATGCTTCTGCAGGAAACAAATTGTGCCAAAGAATCACCAAATGCAGCGGGGACAACTACTGAAATGCCCTGCAAATCTCCACAGCCAGAACTAATCCACTCTTCAACAAGGAGGAAGAGACAGCTAAAGACACCTCTGCCAAAAGTGGATGTGAAAGAAGTGCCTGCACTGAGGAAGCATTCAAAAATATCAGAGGAATATACATACATAGTAGGTGGTGATAAAAGTATGGAAGTGTTTAAGGAAACTTCAGAGCAGAAATTGGACCCAACAATATATGCAATAGAAATGAAGAGGTGGTCAAGAATGCCTAAAAAAGCCCAAACTCTGGAAGATCTAGCTGGCATCAAAGAACTATTCCAAATACCGGAACATTTAGATGAGCCCATATGCGAATATAACACTAAAGTACCCTGCAGATCTCCGCACACAAAAGCAATGCGTACCCCAAGAAGGAAAAACACATCGCTCAACACACTCCCGAGGAAAGTGGATGTAAAAGAAGATAAAACCATGCATATCCCAAAAGCAACAGAAAACGATAACAAAGGCATAAAAGCTTTCAAGGAATCTGCAAAGCAGACACAGGATCTAGTAGCAAATACATCTGGCAGCAAGAGATGGCCAAGAACACCTAAGGCAAAGGCTCATTCCTTAGAAGACCTGACAGGCTTTCAAGAGCTCTTCCAAGTACCAGGCCACACCAAGGACTCAATTACGGAACGAGAGGACGAGTCAAGACCAGTGGATACTTCCACAACCTCAAAGAGATGTTCCCAGACAAGTCCGGGGAAAATAGATGGGAAAGAAGATCTCTCAACACCCAGAAAACTAACACAGTCACCAGGCAGAGCTGTGCACACACCTACAGTACCAAGTCAGAAGAGGAAAAGCATCAGAGCATCTATGCAAAGTCCAAAGCAGAAATTGGACCCACCAGAAAATTTAACGGAACTTAAAAGACCAGCACGAACACCTAAGACAAAGCCCCAGCCTCTGGAAGACCTGGCTGGCTTCCAAGAGCTCTTCCAAACACCAAGCCATGCCAAGAAGAAGAAAGGCATCAGAGCATCTGAGCAAACTCAAAAGCAAAAATTGGACCTGACAGAAAATTTAACAGAACTTAAAAGACCAGCACGAACACCTAAGACAAAGGCCCAGCCTCTGGAAGACCTGGCTGGCTTCCAAGAGCTCTTCCAAACCCCAAGTCATTCCAAGGAGAAGAAAGACATCAGAGCATCTGTGCCAACTCCAAAGCAGAAATTGGACCTGACAGAAAATTTAACGGAACTTAAAAGACCAGCACGAACACCTAAGACAAAGCCCCAGCCTCTGGAAGACCTGGCTGGCTTCCAAGAGCTCTTCCAAACCCCAAGTCATTCCAAGGAGAAGAAAGACATCAGAGCATCTGAGCAAACTCCAAAGCAAAAATTGGACCTGACAGAAAATTTAACAGAACTTAAAAGACCAGCACGAACACCTAAGACAAAGCCCCAGCCTCTGGAAGACCTGGCTGGCTTCCAAGAGCTCTTCCAAACACCAAGCCATGCCAAGGAGAAGAAAGGCATCAGAGCATCTGTGCCAACTCCAAAGCAGAAATTGGACATGACAGAAAATTTAATGGAGCTTAAAAGGCCAGCACGAACACCTAAGACAAAAGCCCAGCCTGTAGAAGACATGGCTGGCTTCCAAGAGCTCTTCCAAACACCAAGTCATTCCAAGGAGAAGAAAGACATCAGAGCATCTGTGCAAACTCCAAAACAGAAATTGGACCCAACAGAAAATTTAAGAGAACTTAGAAGACCAGCACGAACACCTAAGACAAAGGCCCAGCCTCTAGAAGACCTGGCTGGCTTCCAAGAGCTCTTCCAAACACCAAGCCATGCCAAGGAGAAGAAAGGCATCAGACCATCTGTGCAAACTCCAAAGCAGAAATTGGACCTGACAGAAAATTTAACAGAACTTAAAAGACCAGCACGAACACCTAAGACAAAGGCCCAGCCTCTAGAAGACTTGGCTGGCTTCCAGGAGCTCTTCCAAACACCAAGCCATTCCAAGAACTCAGTGACTACAGAAGAAACCCCTAGAACATCCTTTATATCTCTACAACCAATGCCAGCATACACTCCAACAACCTCAAATAGACGTTCTAAAATAAGTTTAGGGAAAGTAGATATTAAAGAACAGCTCCCATCACAGAAGAAAGTAACACAGTCACCAGGTAAAGCCATGCATGCTTCTCTGGTTCCAGTTCAGGAAAAAGGTATCAGAGCATCTATAGAAACTCCAAAGCAGAAACTGGACCAGACAGAAAATTTAGCTGGACTTGACAGATGCCTGCGAACACCTAAGACAAAGGCCCAACCCCTCGAAGACCTGTTTGGCTTCCAAGAGCTCTTCCCAACATCAGGTCATGGCAAGGACCCCATGGATTCTAAGAAAACCACAAAAATGGTCTGTGGATCTCCACAACCAGCACCAGTGGACACCCCAACTTCAAAGAGATGTCGTAAGACAAGTCTGGGGAAAGTGGATGTAAAAGAAGAGCTCTCATTAGTGAGAGAGCTGACTCAAATGTCAGAGCAAACCATATACACACTGAAAGTAAAAGTAGGTGGTGGTGACAAAAGTATCTGCTCTGATAAATCTTCAGAGCAGACCCTGGACCCAGCCACAAATGTATCTGGCAGCAAAAGACAGCGAAGAGCAACTAAAACAGAGACTCAGCTCCTAGAAGATCTGACTGGCTTCCAAGAGCTCTTCCAAACTCCAGGTGATGCCAAGGACCCAGTGACTACTGATGAAATGACAAAAATACCCTGCATTTCTCCACAACCAGAGCCACTTAGAACACCACTAACCTTAAACAGACGTCCCAGGACAAGTCTGGGGATAATGAATATGAAAGAAGTGCTCTCAGGCCCCAGGAAACAAACACAGTCACCAGCCAAATCCTTGCACACATCTGTAGTACTGGTTCAGGAGGAGAAAGGCATCAGAGCATCTGCTGAAACTCCAAACCAGAAACTGGACCCTGCTGAACATTTACATGGATTTGAGAGACAGTCACGAACACTTAAGGAAAAGATCCAGCCCCTAGAAGCCCTGACTGGCTTCCAAGAGTTCTTTGAAACACCTGAGCGTGTCAAAGACCCAATAACTCTTGGTGAAACTACAAAAATGTCCAGTAGATTTGTACAACCAGGACCACTAAACTCCCCAGCAACCTCAAAGAGACGTCCTAAGATAAGTCTGGAGAGAGCAGATAGGAAAGAGATGTCTCCTTTGAGGAAGTTCATGCAAACAACAGGGGAAGCCATGCACACATCCAAAGTATTAGAAGTTGATGACAAAGTTTTTAAGGACTTTGTAGAACAGACACTGCTACCTGTAGCAACAAGCAACAAGAGGCAGCCAAAGAAACGTAAAGAGGAAGTCCCATTCTCAGAAGGCCTAGCTGGCTTTCAGGAGCTCTTCCAAACAACAGGCCATACCAAAGACCCCATAAATATTGATGAAACTACAGAAATGCCCTGCATATCTCTGCGAACAGAATCAATGAACACTCCAAGAGTAGTGAGACAGTCCACAAGTCTAGGGAAAAAAAATGTAAAAGAGCACTCAGTGATAAATTTAACACAAATTGCTGGGAAAATTGCACACACACGTGAAGAGCCCACAGATGTTAAAGGATATGAAGTGTTTAAAATATCCACAAAGCAGAAACTCAACTCAGCAGAAAGTGGTACTGGCAGCAAGAGACTGAGAGGAGAATCTAAGAAAAACTCTCAACCTCTAGAAGACCTAACTGGCTCCAAAGAGCTCTTCCAAACACCAGATCACACTGAGGAATCAATGAGTGATGAACGAACTACAAAAACACCTCCCAAATCACAACCAGAAGCAGTGGACACTCCCAGAAGGAAAAAAGCATTGCCCAGCACACCCAGAGGGAAAGGGGATGCAAAAGAACAAGTCATATGTACACCAAAAACAATAGAAAGTGATTACAAAAACATTAAGCCTCATAAGGAATCTGCAAAGCAGACAGTGGACATAGTAGCAAATGTATCTGGTAGCAGGAGATGGCCAAGGATACCTAAGATAAAGACCCATGTTCTGGAAGACCTGACTGGCTTTCAAGAGCTCTTCCAAACACCAGACCATGCCAAAGACCAAATGACAATTGATGAGACTACAAAAATGCCCTGTACATCTCTGCAACCAGGACCAATGTACACTCCAACAACCTCAAAGAGACATTCTAAAACAAGTCTTGGGAAAATAGATGGGAAAGGAGAGCTGTCTTTCAGGAAACAAATTCAGTCACTAGGTAGAGCTATGCACACACCTTCAGGAGCAGCTCAGGAGCAGGAAGGCATCAGAGCATCCACTGAAATGCCAAATCAGAAACTGGACCTGACAGAAAATTTAACTGGACTTAGGAGACAGTCACAAGCACCTAAAGCAAAGGCCCAGCCTCTGGAAGATCTGTGTGGTTTCCAAGAACTTTTCCAAACACCAGACCATGCCAAAAACCGAATGAAAAATGAAGAAACTACAAAAATGCCCTGTACCTCTCTACAACCAGGACCACTGTACAATTCAACAACTTCAAAGAGACGTTCTAAGACAAGTCTTAAGAAAATAGATGGGAAAGAAGAGCTGTCGTCATTCAGGAGACAAATACAGTCACCAGGCAGAGCTATGCACACGCCTTCAGAACTGGTTCAGGAGCAGGAAGGCATCAGAGCATCTACGGAAACTCCAAAGCAGAAACTGGACCTGACAGAAAGTTTAACTGGACTTAAGAGACCGTTACGAACACCTAAGGCAAGGGCTCAGCCTCTAGAAGATCTCTCTGGCTTCCAAGAGCTCTTCCAAACACCAAGCCATGCCAAGGACCTGCTGATTGGAGAGAAACCCCCCCAAACACTCTGCAGATCTCAGTCAACACCAGTGGGCACTCTAACAACCTCAAAGAGAAGTCCTAAAACAAGTATTGGAAAAATGGATGTGAAAGCAGAGGTTTCAATGGCGAGAAAACATACATTGAGGGGTACCATGCATGCACACAAAGAAGCCCTAGATGGTAAAGGTAAGGAAGTGTTTAAGGAATCTGCCAAGCGAAAAGTGGACGAAGCAGAAAATGTAACTGGCAGCAAGAGACTGCGGAGAGCACCCAAGAAAAAGGACCAATCCCTAGATGACCTGGGTGGCTTGCAAGAGTTCTTACAAATGCGAGGACATGTTGAAGAATCTATGAGTGATGAAAAGGCCACAATACAGCCCTACATATCTCCACAATCTGAATCAATCAGAACTCAAACAAACACACAGAGAGGCCCCAGGACAAGAGTCAGAAAAGTGAATGCAAAGGAAGATTCCTCAGCAGCACAAAAGCCAACACGGATGTCAAGGACCACTATTCACACCTCTAACGTACCAAAAAATGACAAAGACATTGAACCACTGAAGGAACTTGAAAAGAAAATAGTGGACCTTGCTGCAGGTATAAGTGGCAGCAGGAGATGGACAAGAGCAGCTAAGGCAAAAGCTCAGTCCTTACAAGACCAGACTGGCTCCATAGAACTAAGCCAAACATTAAACCACACTGAGGAATCAGCGAGGGATAAAAAAACCACAAAAATGCCCTGCAAATCCCCCCAAGAACCAGAGGACACTTCAGCAACCTCAAAGAGACGACCCAGGACAAGATTTGGGAATGTAGACATGACAGAAGAGCTTTCAACACAGAGAAAACAAACAGGAACAACAGAGGAGACCATGAACACACATAAAGAACCTACAGATGATAGTAAAAGTATCAAAGGGTTTAAGGAGTCAACTAAACGAAAACTGGACCCAGAAGAAAATGTAACTGTCAGCAAGAGGCTGCGAGGGACACATAAGGAAAAGACCCAACTGCTGGAAGATCTGGCTAGCTCTAAAGAACTAATCCCCAAACCACCTTACACTGAGGAATCATTGAGGGATAAAAAAACTACAAAAATGCCCTGCAAATCTTTACAACCAGTGCTAGCGGACAGTCCAACAAGCACAGAGAGACAACTCAGGCCAAGACTTAGGAATGTGAATGTAAGAGAAGGACTCTTGGCTATGAGGAAGCCAACACGAATGTCAAGGGCCACCACCCACACTTCCAAAGTGCCAGAAGGTGATGACAAAGATATCAAAACTTTTAAGGAATCTTCAGAACAGACACTAGACCCAGCCACTAGGGCAACAAGCAGCAGTAGGTACTCAAGAGCATCTAAGGCAAAGTCTCAAGTGCAAGACCTACCTACCCCTAAGGAAATAAGCCAAACCCCAGACCATACTGAAGAACAAATAAATGATGTTCATAGCCTGAAGAGTACTCTACAGAAAACACCTGACAGCATAAAACCTCTGAAAATACTTAGAAGAGTTATTAGGGTCCCCAAAGAAAAAGCCATAGATTTGATGGATACCAAAGACCCTGCAGTATCGCAAAGCAAAAGTAACGTATCATTGGCCCCAAAGTGGAAATCCAGCCAAGATAGAAGTATCTCAAGAACCAGGGGCTGTGTTACTATACCACAGGACACAATAGAGAAGAATCTGGTCCACAATAAACAGAGGACTACTCCTAGGGAGAGATACAAATGCCCTGATCCCTTGAACATAATGAAGAAACGTGCGAGAGTTGTTATAAACAGAATTGAATCTGTAGAAGAACAGAACAACAATATGAAATCTATCCAAAAAAGCCAGACAGTACAAGACTCGAGTGCTCCAAATAAGGTGAGGGGCAGTGTCACATTATTATGTGTTCACTTGGGTGGATGTGATTCTTTTCTGTGTAGTAATCTGTACAGGACCTGATATCGCATGCATTTATAAGTGGATATCCTTTTTCACAAGGGTTTCTATGAATACTATTAATAACTTTGGTAAAAAGCTCTGATACATCTGTGATTTACATAGGCATTAGACTAATTCTATAAAAGAACCAGTTGAAATAATGATTACAACCTTGAGGAATTATCACAGTGAATAACGTATATTCGTTTGTACTTTAAGAAATTAATCAGAGAAAAAGGTGGACTATTCAGTTCTGTGTTCATGACACTATCACCAAGGCCAGGGATAGGTAAAAGTAGAACATGCCAGTGTTTCAGCAGTGAGAGTGTTCTCAATAGGGTGTGCGGAACAGAATTGTGTGATTACCATAACATTCAAAACTCCAGAAGGGCATTTCCTCCCCATCAGCTGTCATTGTTAAAGGACTAGAATTCATTTATCATTTATGTAATGGGACAATTCTCAATAATGTAAACTGTAGTTATTTAGATTTGATTATTTTCTCCCTGTTGAATTTTGAGATGTGTTTTACTCGTTTTTTGAAATATTGTGGATCTCATTTCATTTCTGTAGGGAATGTCTTTGCGCTCCAGAAACCATGATAAAGGTGGCGTAAACCAGCAAAGACTTGAAATTCCTGTATCAGAAGAGGCCAAAATAAAGAGACCTGAAAAGAAGGCCATGAAGACATCTGAAGAGACAGAGCAACAACAGAACCCACATGATGGAGCTGGGAAACCTACATCTAAGGGCAAGGTTAGTGGAAACAGGATATGCTTGAGATCTGGAAGGCAAAATAAGAACTCCCAGCTTCATACAGCAGAGAAGGAAACGATGGAAATCCTTGTGAAGAATCAGAAAGAAAAGGAAGTAACCAAAAATTCAGACCCTGTAAATTTGAGATCCAGAAGGGCTAAAATTCAGCCAGAAGGAAACACTTTGGAGAGTGACTCTGAGCAGAGAATAACTGGAGGTGCCAAGAGATGTGCAGAAAATCCAAAGAAGGTATGTATTTCACTATTGTTATATAAAAAAACTGGGTATATTTATGCCCACTGCAGCAAAAGCAAATGAAAAACACTGTTACAGCATTATGGTGCCAATTCTCAGTTATAAAAGAAGCATCAGTCTAAGCCATGCATTTTATTTGATATGTTACTTCTGAGAATTCTACTTAAATTAATGTTTTCAGGTTATTGAAGACATTTAGATAGATCTAGGCCTTTATTTGATTGCAACTATCTGTTTATGGTGCAACTTACATGATGGTTATGTCTTGTTGATTATGTCTAAAGTTGGTCTTCAGTTCATCAAAATTTACTAAAGCAAAAAGTGGTCATGTCTGGGTTTTCTTTGGAAAGGTAGAATAAACCACACCTGGAGATTCTGAAGGCAGATTGCACTCTAAATTCTGCTTAGTAGGAAATACGCTACGCTTGTCAATTCACTCTTCCCAGCCAAACATTACCTAAATTAATGAGCTATATGTGATATTAAAGTCAGATCAAATTTATTAGCTCATGAATTAACCCATAATTTGAATAATCATGATGCATGATTAAGTTCATTAGTATTCTGGGGAATGTATGATTTAGCTAGTTTAATAAGAGAGGTGTACAATACCTTTTTGTGAATGCTATGTAATTGTTCTTCGCATGCAGACATTGAATTTAAAACTATTCTGAGGTCAGCCAAGGATATGAAGGTAGTGATTGCCACTTTGGCTACAGAATTGCCCCAAGTCTAGTTGTTTAGACTGGTGGTGTTTAGAACAAGCCAGGAACTTGAACTGACACCTGTGAGTCAAGATTCCCAGGTGCTCCCAACACGTACCACAGTTATTAGTGAGCTAAACAAGAGGATCCTCCTTGCTGGCAGGTAGCAAGAAGTCTTTGTGAGGAGGTGTGCATAGAATGAGGCTCTGGGAAGCAGAGCGATGCCTGTGCATGTGCCAGGAATTAGACTAGCTGGAAGCCAAAGACATCTGAGAGTGGCAAGACATGATCACAAGACAGACCAAGGAGACACAAGGATCTCACACAGCCTCATGTGGTTAATATATGCATCTCCTGTTCAATTTTAAGTAAAATTTAGGCTCTACACACTAATAGATTCATAGTTTGGAGAATAGTGCCTTATCAGAATGAGATTTAAGGATTAAAAACCAACCTCCTTTTCACGTGGATGATTCTAAACACAGCAACCAGGACCCAAGGGTGAGCCAGACCTGGCTAATTTGTGAGCAGCACTTACACCTCTTCCCTGTAACTACCAGTACCCAGGAGACTCCAGATATACACTGATGGGTTTCTCTGGGGCTGACTACTTAGCTGGGTCCATCATATGCCTGGTGTCTGGCTGTCCACAGACTCAGAAACTGTGTATGAGAATTGTATTCAATAATGAGGCTGAGGAAAGACCACGGGAAGAGATGGTCAGAGACTGGAGGCCAGGGTTATTGCTATCGCTCAACGTACATGAAAAGGTAGAGGAGATTTGTTTATTGCAGACGAGAATAGTGGCAAGAATGCTGACCAAGTCTACCTTCAGGGTTCCATTTAAGGTTCCTGCCACCCTAAGAGTCCTGAAGGAGTGACAGGTGACTGAGGTGGCCTCCTGCTCTAGCCTGGTGGTCAGCAAAGCCACATTGATAGAATCTACTCCTACCAATGCATCAGAGAAGCAAGTCTCTCCTTTTCAGCTTGCATATTTGTCCTTGTATCCATCCATGCCGCAGATTTTGTGCTTAGCACTTTTCTGCCACTGTGTACTGTGGAATTTGATAGCATTAACAAATTAAAGGTCTTTCCCATTCAAACTAAACTTTATATTTTTTGATTACTCATCTTGTTCTATCTCTTCTTTTTACCTACTATCCATGATCACTTACTAACACTTCTTTTAAAATCTGCCTGCTTCGTACTTGGGCTTTTCTCACTGGATTTTTTTTGTTTGTTTTTGATGCGGCCTTTGTTGAGCATGTTGTAGACACCCGGGCTGGGGGCGTCCTTTCTGAAAAGAGAAAATTGTCTTGTTTGTCTGTATTTAATCTAAGTCTAGACAGGATAAGCTTCTGTCACCACCTACTCAAGAGAAGATGTCCTCCTATTTAAAACATCCTTTAGGAAGTCTCAGGCCACACTCACCGTTCACATTGTCTTCTTTGCAGGAAGAATGTGGTTTAACAGTTCAAAATATCTTCCTTGTTGAATTCACTTTTCCCGAATGACATTTCAACTGATAAAAATGTGTACATTGGTAATGTAGTTTTGTTTTTTTTTAGTAGCTTTTGCTTGAAACAGTACAATATTTAAGTTTAAAAAACTAAATAAAACATTTAGGAAAACTTAAGGTGATATATCCCAAAACTAATTTCCAACCTTTAACTTTTTGAAGTAATGAAGGCACTATACTTGGTAACAATTGGAGTTTTAGAGAGTAGGGTTGATCACAAAATATTTTTTTGAAGTCACTCGAGTTGTTTTTCTTCCCAAACAGGATGAAGACATCAAGGATACTAAGAAAATAAGAACCCGAAGTCATCGGAATAGTGAAGATATTTAGCAAATAAATTTAAGGGAGAAAAATATATAATATTTAGACGTAAGTTCTAGTTTAATTTTCACCATCAATGTAAAGTGAACTCTGTAAATAATTGTATCTGTGTATTTAAGGGAAGAAAACCTAGAATCTTTTAGCTTTGCATCTTGGTGATAACCACCATCTTGTCTGCCAGGTGACTCTGTCTTGCTTTCCAAACCCTACTCCATAAAATCCTGAAGATAGCTGAGCATCTGGTGCCAGGCACGGATGCCTGGACTGTTTCTTAACTGCCCTCTGATGTGTTAATAGTCTTTGAGAGAGCCCACATACATACATTTGTCTAGCATAGCATATAAGCCCCTTCCTTGTGTCTCTGAATCTAGGAATCCTGTGTTGCTGCTTACCGAGACAGGCTTCTGTCCCTTGTCTATCAAGCTCTTAATAAATTGCATTCTTTGTTAAAAAAATAAAAGAATTTTCTGAATTGTCTTTAAAAGCCATGCTGGGGGTTCTGGAGTTCTAATTTCAATGTTTGGTAGTAGACTGGCAAAGGCATACTCTTCTGTGTTGGAGAATAAAGCCCCTCCTATTATACCCTGAGATCAGTGTGTTGGTCTCTCTGTAGTACTTGCTGCACTACATGGTTGCTGCTTATGTGTCTGTGTTTTCCTTAGCCATGGGAAAGGCAGGGACTTGGATCCTTTTGTCCCAAAATTAAGTGGTTCTCAGTATCTGTTAATATACCATGGAGTAGACCAGTGGAACTTACACAATATATTTGTACAATGCAAGCATTTGGTCTTCACCCTTGGGCTATTGGCCATCTGTACAAGACAGCTCAATCTTTGGTGTCCTTGACATTTAAGAGAATAAAGTGGTTTGAAGGATGGCATCCTTGGAATAACAAGGTTGCTCTGATGAGTGCCTTGCCTTTACATTAAGAATCTACTAAGTCTGCTGTCACCAAGATGGTCTCTGCCATCTGGGGCTGTTAACTAGTTTGCCACTTGATTGTTAAGCTGTGACACCCCATCCAGCATCTGTCTGGAGTCCTGTCTCTGTCTTCCCTGCTAGGTGAGGTGACGGTAAGAGATTGGACAGAGTAGCCATCATGTAGAGGAGCGATGGCGAACCTATTAGAAAATGAGTACCCAAACTGCAGCCCAAAACCCATTTATCTCAAAGTGCCAACCCTACAATTAAACTGGAAACTGAGGCTTCAGTTTAGGAAAAACAAAACAAACATACATTAACATCTTTTGTTCTTAAAATACAAAAACAACATTCAATAATAAATAATGAAAAGTTTTTTATGGGAAGCTAAATGTTTGTATTTGGGGTGCTTTTGCTCAGTGTGATCTTTGCTGTTGGTATGCATGTTGATAATTTGTCAAACCTCGGCTGGGGTGACTGGGCTGCATGCATTCGAACAGATCTCTGAGTGCCTGCTGCAGTACAGGTGCCATAGGTTCGCCTCCACGGATCTAGAGTGTACATACTTAGAAGGGTGGTGCCCTGTCTGTTTATGTTTATATCCATTCTATCTGACAAATGTTTTCTGAGTGAAGGTAAGAATAACAGCTTTTAGCCAAATCACCAGTAGTTACTTTTGCTACACTGGCTACCGTGAAAGTGTTCGGAGTAGTTGTCTGTGATCACAGTGAAGAGTGACAGGTTATTCTGAAGGAGGTCTACAGAATGCAGCAGGGAGGGGACATCTGAAAGAGGATACAGAATAGGTGACAGCCAAGCTTCCAAAGAGGAGTGGGCTTTTATGTAGCACAAGGTACAAGGAAGAGAACCTTTTAGAGAAAAAATTCACTGCACTGTGTAAGACAGTGTGCCCTTCGTTGGCTTAAGCCTTTAATGTCAAAGCTGTAATAGAAATAGAGCTTTAGGTAAGTTGCACTAGCATTTGAAATTTAGAGACAATTAGGACCCTTGTGTGTAGAAAAATTTCAGTAAACTACATGCCTGTGGAATGGAAAATTTTGATAAATGAAAAACAGCTTTAGAGTTCAATTCTAATAAATCTTGTAGCAATCTCAACATTTTCCTCCTTTGATAAATACGGTATTTCAAAATATTTCATTGTACATGGCAGTAGATGATGGATTAGAAAAGCTCATTCAATGATGATACCAGTGTCAAACACAGGACACCTTTCATTTAATACTTAAATGGGAGGGGCCAATTGAAAAATACGTATTCACCTCAAAGTCTGTTTGAGGGCAAGGACCATAAATGCCCACCCAGCCTCCATGTGGTTTATTTTGCTAACCCATCTGAGCCTTGGTTTCCGTGTAACATGCTATTTTGGTTTTGATCCTGGAAGAAGTGCAGGGGGGAGGGGGGAGGGGCTTGGAAGGGTCAACTCACCCTGTAGCGGTGGCCTTTCCAACAGGTCCCAAGGAAGGTACTCAGATGTGGGCATGTCTAGGGCTCTGGAGGGCTGAGGAAGGGAGGAGGGAGGTGTTCTTGGAGGGCACTACATCCAGGGCAGAGGAATTCAGAGCTTCATGAAATTGTAATGGAGAGCCAACATCCCAAATAGCAATTCCCAAATGCAAATCTGAGCTACAGGACTAAAAATGATTTTAGTGTGGCTGGATCCTACCATTTGCTGGGTTTTCTAGCCAAGTCCTATTTGATAGGTTGCTGGGATCTTGACTGGTCAGAGTTCCAAAGATCTGAGGTGCCAATACTGTGCAAATATTCCTAGACCCTGAGTATCTCCAAGGCACAGTCATGGTCTTTCCTCCTCTATCTTCAGCATCAAAAGTCAGACCAGCACACAACTCTGAGCCATTTGTCAGTGGGGATTTCTAATGTGCCCATGAACCATTCACAGGAAGCACTGCCTCCTCTTGTACCTACTGTGACTTCTCAGGGATGAACAATGGAATTGATATGTTTTATTAGTAAGTCAAGAGCCAAAGCCAGCCTTGTGCTCATCAACCTCATCTCAGGTTGACAGATTCCACCCCTGTGATTTCAAACCCTGTTGATGTCTGCTCCTTGTGGCTTCCTAGTGGAATTCCAAAGGGACATCCCCAGCCTAACATTCACATTGAGTTTTTGATGTCACTCGGAGAACAAACAAGCAGAAACAATATTCACTGCACTGTCCCCACTTGGGTGACTTGAGAGATTGCACTAGGGATTTCCCTGTACATGTCAACACTGAAATATATGGTACTGGTACACTGACCTCTCCCATAGATCCAACGTGCTCTAAACTGTCTCATGTTGCCTGCTTTCTTCAGGTCAGAAAAGGTGCTCCTTTATTACCCATAAAATTACTTTGAGGTCTGGAATACACTCCATACCCTTCCTGAATTGGCAAATGCCTGTAAATAGACTTCCAGGAATATGGCAGAGCCGTAAGCAGTGACAAATCAATGTGTCCTAGATTACAAATTGAGACATTGGAGAATAACAACTTGGGAAAGAAAACAAGGAGGGAAATGGATCCCCCAGGAACCAGGAAGGATCCAAAGGGAAAATTGGAACCCACAGAGAAAGCAAAGAGACAGACCTCTACACTGAAAAAGGAGAGGGCAATCAGCACTTTCTCCTGAGCTTTCGGACTCGTTCTGTGAGATGAGGATTGAATATCTAGAGACACAGTGAAAGCAGGTGACTCCAGAGGCCTCCAGAAAGAAACGCAACAGTGGAATGGAACAGTGAATGCTGGGCACTACAATAGCTGGTGAGTGACTCCAGTCTAAGTGACTGCCATGTACCCTGAGGAGGGTGCTTGGCTGGATACCATTTTAGGGAGGGGCCAACTGAACCCAGGACTCTGAGCAGCTGTGGATTGGCCTCATTTTGGGGCTCCCAGTTTTGAAATCCCACAGTGACAACAACAAGTGAGATGACCAGGGTCAGGGAGTGTGGTCAGGCTGACAAGAGTCAGTGAGAGTGTTATAAGCCAAAAACTCAGGCCCTAATCCTACAAGCAGAAGCCAGAATCAGCCTAAACTTTTGTGGAGATGAAAGCACCAGAAGCAGCCTAAAGGAGGTGGCGCTCAAAGGAGAAATGTCAGCTTATCCAATACACGTTCAAAATGGTTAAAAAGAGAGTTAATCAATTGTCAGGTTATCGTCTTCATATCATCAGGATCCCCATCTCTCATGGGAAATTTAAAACTTTGCTTCAGCAGTCTATGCCATTACAATGTGTCCTAGCTGATTTTATAGGAGAAATCCTTGGATCTTGGCTGACTGGCAAGCTCTTATACGTTTTAACTACTACTCCTATCCTTTCTAAGATTTTTCATTCTGGACCCATTCCACAGGTGGGGATCATGTTTACTGATGGCCCTGGCCCACTAAAAAGGCTCACATAGTGACAGGCACCCTTCAGCTAACAAAGGAGGCATTTTCCTCCACTCAAAAAACCAGAATTAGGTGCCATCATACTCAGGTGCTATCATACACTTTACAAACAACCAGGGGCAGGCGCTCAACTTAAAATATTAAAATATTTCTTGTACACTGTAAATTCTTAAACTGCAATTACAGGGTTAACCTGCTTACTGCTCTCTGCTGCCATTAAAATAAAAACACTGGTTGAAAGTTACTCGGAAGACAAGTTTGTTATGAAAAATTTATAGTAAGTGGGATAAAAAATATGAAGAAAGCTATAAGAGACATACTTTAGATATGAAAAAGATTTTGTATGATAAAAGTTTTGCCCTACTAGAAAGATAAAATGATAAAAATAATAATAGAACTGGAAAACTCAGTTATGTTGAAAAGATTGTGGAGGATGTAGTTAATCAAAAAAAAATTAGTGTATGTTTTCTTGTTGGTTTGATGGAGCCCAGACTGTTCCTTCTAAAGGTTCCCTGTTGCTCAAAATGATTGGAGAGCCCTGGCCCTCCACAGGGGGTCAACCCTGCAGTCTTGGGCCTAATCTGATTTGGCAAATGGATTTTTCTCATATCCCTTGATTTGGTCAATTGTCTTATGCACATATTCGTATTTATACTTATTCAGAAATGTTTTATGCCACCCTGCAACATAGTGAAACTGCTTTTCATGTTATACACCATTGCTTTATTTGTTTTAAACCCTTAATTTTTTAATGTTAATGTTAACAATCAAGGCTACATCTCAGCAGAATGACACTGAACTATGAAGTCCAGTCAAACAGATCACCTTTTAGTCTTATGGAAGGATGCTAACTCAGGACTCTGGGAAGGCCTTGTTCCTTTTTTAACATGGGGTTGAGGGTTTGGTTGTGTGTTATTACAAAAAGGATGGATGTGGCTACCAGCATGATTGGTCTTCAGAGAAAAAATCCAATCCCACAAAAACAGAACCCCTACCTGGAAGATGGGAAGGAACAACCTCCATTCCTCTTGCCCAGAACAACTCAGGCTGTAGAGGTAACCTGGAGAAGCATAAAAAAAATAACTTAGGGAGCTGATGAAGTTCTTCAGCACACAGGACCACTAAAGACCCCCTTTTCTGGACATACTTGCCATAGTCAGCTGTGTGATAATGTTGGGAAATCTCCTTTTGGAACAAGATGCCCCTTCTTGGGCTTTCATAGAAGACCCCCTCCCATGGG